GTGCACATTTGTTTTTTTCCCGGGCAAACGTGAAACCTGCCAGTTCCTCTGGTCTTGTTTTCAGTCTAAAACCTGGGGGTCATTTCTCCGACCAGTTCTTTCTTCTCGGTGAACAGCCACTTAACTTTGCCTTTTATCTTTCCCCCGATGCAAGCACACACATCCGCTAGGTCCGTGCCCTTTCCTACAAACTATTTGTCAGGTTTTCTACTCCCCCCCCCTTCTCTTTTTGTTGTCTGAATTGCAAATACTCTGACCAGGAGCCGGACAGTCTGGCCCCCAACGCCTCACGAAGCAAGGGCTGTATTATTGTTAACACTCCCCTGTCTGATCTCAGCGCGCCATGCGCCACAGCTTTACTTAGAAACCTTAAAATAGCCAACACATGGCGACACAATATCCCCTCCTGATCAGATCTACTCAAGTAAAACGTCGATTCTTACCCATCTATTTGCCCCTCTTTTAAGAATTTTTTTCTCCTTGCCACTTCCCTCCTGTTGTTTTTTTTTCCCTCCTGTTCTTTCTGTCTTTCTTTTTACCACCTTTACGGCATGTCCAGACAGGCCATGCGACTTCAACTCTTCAGAGAGACAAGCCAAAAAGGGCAAGAAGACGCGGAAAGAACAGAGAAGGAAGAGAAGGGAAAAGGGGAGGAAAAAAAAAAATTGGAGAAGAAACGTGCAATTTCGCCCACTTAGTAGTGATCTGAAAACATTTTCCGTGGCTCTGAACTGATCCAGCTGCTTGTCGGGGGCAATCTCGCGTACAGGTGAATTCGGACGTTGGGGCCACGATGTCTAGGAGCTCTCGGCCCTTGAGAGTCAGATGGGGATATCAGAATTGCAAGAGAGGCGCTTCAGCCGCATCCGCGTTAAAATTTACATGTATCCATTATCAGTTCCGGCCAGAAAGGAGATCAACGCCTACACGGACTGCGGCACCTATTAAGCGTGTGAGCGTTCTGCCATGTCTGCCAATTTTTCCCCCCAACAGTCGCCTGCTTTTTTTTTCATTTTATTTCTCCTTTTTTTTCCCCCATCTTAACTCTTTGTATAACTGCTCGTCGCCACAGAGTTGGCAGTGATGTCTCAGTAGCATCTCTGTGTTGTTTCTAAAGGTCCTGCGCTTGCATGCATTTCGGAGTAACACTATATTGCCCGGCGAGCCTGCCGGACCGGATAGTGGCTTGGCGCTGAAATGAATACGCTTGAATTGCCATCTCCACGGCACAGGCTTCTTATCCCAGACAACCCTTCTTGTCTCTCCGAGGTGAGAGAAAGAGAAAAAAAAAAGATAATAAAAGGCAAGGAAAATAAAAACCAATGCCTAGGGGTCGTGACCTGGCCGGAGTACCGATTCGACTTGGCATTCAGCAAGCACAGACGCCGCCAACCCTTCTCTTATCCTCTCCGTCTCCTTCTCCCCATCTTCCCCTCTCATGACAGTTTCGTGTCATTTAACAAAATGGAATTCTACCGGCGATCCCCAAGTGAAAGGATGCCACAATTAAATTTATACTGGATTGGCTATGGCCAGCAGGTGTGAGTGAATGCAAAGACCCCTCAAGTACTGCGTTTAATCACACAGGCGCCAAACCTACTGACTCTAAACCTCTTCCGTGGGCAGCCAGAGAGTCGGACCCGGCCGAGCCGGGGTCGAGTTGAGCGCGGAATCCTAATCTGCCATGAAAGTCAATTTCTCCTGTTTTCTCTCCGTGCCTGTCTCCTCCCTGCCCGCGTCCCAAGACACGGTGGGGACTTCTATTTTTGATGTACCGGGGCCTGTGTCTCCTACTCTACCATCCAGCATCATGTCTCTCTTTTTTCCTCTACTTCTTGCCCTTCTCTATTTTATAAAGAGAGAAAAAAAGTCGAAAACGTTTGTCAGCGGACGGCGCCGACACCGAGGAAGGAATGATAATGCAAATTCACGGCGGACACCGCACGAGAGCCATGACACGCTCGGATTTCCGATTCTCGATTGCAAACCAATACAAAGGCTCAAAATTATGATGGGGTCCGGGGCTCTTCCATGCGTGTGTTTGCGGTGGTTTTTTTTTTTTTTTTTTTTTCTCTCTCTCTCTTCCTTCTCCCCAGTCTCAATCTCATGTGTCGGGGCAATTTTTGGCCCTTGGCCCAAGAGTCCCCTGCACTATGCACGGCGGGTTTATTTCCCACAGGTAACTAAAGCGACAGGAAATTACAGGGGCAAACCACCCTGCAGCGTCAGGCACAAAAAAACTGGACTATTGCAATTTCGGAGGGAAAGGTCAATACCATTCAAAGGTTCTGGTGCGCCCTGAAGGCGGTCTCGCTCGCATTTCTCTCCTACACTACTGCTAGCTCTCTGTGCCCAGTTCTTATGCCTCACCTCGCACATGACTGGCTCCCTCACAAACTGATTGCTGATCACTGACCTACAAAACAAATCATGATGATGGCGGCACGGAGGGAAGCGGCACGGTTAAAGGAGGTAGGGGGGGAAGAGAAGAGAGCAAGCAGGCAAAATGACCGCCACACAGCTCCACGACTTGCCAGCAAATAATTACTCGTGTGCCGTTCAAACATTTACCCCATTCTTCGCACAGTTATAAACACAGGGCAGCCAGCCGGCTGACCGAGTGGCAAAGCTTGGAAAGTCAGGAACAAAGTGATTCCCCCCCCCCCTTTTATGGCCGGGCGGTCAGATATGTAGGAGTCTCATTTCCTGCAGGGGCTTGTAATTTGCTCGGCTTTAGCTTCATAATGAGGGATTTCACTTCCTTGGGTCCATCCGTTTGAGTTAATTTCGGCCTTTTTTTTATAGAGGCCTGTGGAAGTTTAATGACAAATTTCAGGCCGTAAACTACCTCATAAAATACTATCATAATCTGCTTCAACAAGCCTCAACAAATCTGCACACATACACGTAGAGGGGGCAAAATATTAATCAAGCCCACAAAAGTAATCTCTTGAATACAACTGCCAACATCTGAAAATCAAACTGAAGGGAATAAAAACACCACTCAGATAGACTTGATCCTTAAAGTCAATCACCGGTCAAGCAGTCCGAGATCAGTATTTCAGAATTAAGCTCACTGTACTGCATTCAAATCCTGTGATTCGTACAGCATCCAAAACAAACAATAGCATCTATTGGGGAAAGAATGTCGGCCATGTCGTATGTCTAGAGTGACTGAAATGAACCCTGATGTCCTACATCTCACCCTTTCCCCTTATTTCATAATACATCTCCTGGCTCCCAACGCCCCTCCCCCACAACAAAAATCCTGAGATAATTACAGCGATCGTATAACCCCAGAATTTCATGCCTGCACTGTCCCGCTAAAAACCTGCGGAGTTATATTTCTACCCACTGAGGGAAAAAAAACATCCCAACAACTAAGGAAAGAGAATGAATGGATGGGAAATGTATCTGATCGGGCCAGCCGAGCAATTTACAATTGTTTGACACCCGAGCTGACTGCTTAAGAATTCCGTCACTTACAAAGGCCCTTTTGGACCCTACCAACTGTGACAATGTTTAAATCTGTCTAAAAGCCACCACACAAGGCACGCAAGTCACTCAATCTCTTGACACTGTTATTTATTTCCCTGCTCACGCCCAGCTATGACATTCAAAAACACTACGCCTTCCTCTTCGTGCGTGAGAAAAAAAAGAAAAAGAAAACTACAAGATTTTTGAGGCTACAGAGCAGAGCAACAGCTTCAAAGTTACGGTTGCAGCGGTCAGGGGGGAAGCCAAAGCCTTGGCTGGACTTTCCCTCGCATAAGAATTCAGCGAACAAGGATAGGGTTACGTTTTTGCCAACACTGTTAGTACGTTCAATTAATTTTCTGCTTTCCTTGGCGTGCCGTTTGCCGGCCATTAGTGCTGGCCTGATACTCCCCAAATGCCCCGCGGCAGGGTCACTTACGCACGTACCCTTGTATTGCCAGTTTTGTCTAAACCTTTGACACTTCTCTCTGTTTCAATCTCGTTCCCCCCCTTCCCCTTTTCCGGATGCTGAAATTGCTGAAATTGCTACATGAAACTCTATCCTCCGAGTTTTCGGCCCGGTCATGCTACCATTTAAAAAATGCAGCAATTAGGTGGGAAGGGGGAGAGAGATGATCGGCAATTCAATGGCCCGAGGGACTTTCCTCTTTTCGGTATTCTGAAGCAAGTAACTGCTAAATGACTTGCATGTATTGAATGGCCTAAAATAATTAACAATCTCAGGAGTATCTCCGCTGAGATGAAAAGTAATAAGATTTCTCCATCTCTATATGGTTCGCATGCAATGGAAACATGATTCCCAAGTTGCATTTTGTGCGGGGTCATTCTAGATATTGACACAAGCTGGGAACTTTGTCAGTCAAATATGGCCTTGGGCAGATTATTAAACATAACCAAGTTCCAATTTCCTGTACCTCCCAGGCAGAAAATATTAACACAATTTATTTCCTACTCGAGTAATATTCTACTTTGAATCAGTCACAGGCAATAATTAAAAAAAAAAGGTTAAAAGCTCTTGACTTAAAACTTAATTACACTGGGACAAAAATTTCATAAAAAAGATAAAAGGGAACTTTTTTCTTGTTAAGTTTATTCAACTATTTTACTGCCATAGTGAAAGACGTTTATGACCTCTTCTTCATACTTTCATATCTAATAAACTGGTGAATTTCCACATTTGTGACTTGTGCACGTGTTTATAGGCGAGGCTTGAACTTCGGATTCGATCCTTTTGGCTGTACATGTACAAATGCAGTCATGGGCTGTACATGCACTGTCAGCTAGACATCCATAAACAGCGCCCTCATATGTCAGAAAATGGTAAGAACATTCAGTTGAAAATAGGTTACAATGCTTCTATATTGGCAATGCATTTCAAGGAGTCTGTGTCGCACTGTGTATATTTCCACTCAAATTCAAACTATGTGATGGGTTCTTCTGTTATGGGCAAAAAAATTGTGATCTTCAGATAGTTTTCTGGAAATGAGAAACTACAAACTAACCTCGATGCCTATTGGTTTGCCTGTCCATCATGAGGGTCACATCCTCTACCTGTAAGCAACAACGACAAGAAAACAAATTTGTTAACAAAAGGAAAATATATCCGGTGTATACATGTACACGCATGGAGCACACACGTTAATATGGGCACCAAAGTGTGAAATAGTCAAGATCACTCAATGGACCGACTCAATCTAGCTAGTCCTTGCCTAGCAACTGCCTTGTGAACCCTCAATCAAGCTTTCTCCACATCGTGACAGAAACAAAGACAAACTGTTCTATTTTTGCGGGCATCAAAAATGCACAGGGAGAAAAAAATTGTCACAAGATTTTATTTCATGTGGATCATGTCATGCTAAGAGTTTGATTTGCAGGAGACATCTATGCAAGTCCAGGCAAGTCACTTGGGTAACTCACTAAGTCACATACGTGTCAGATACTCAACAACTTGGAGCAATGTTCAACTGTTCTCACATCCTCAAAGTCTTCAGTTGCAGAAATTTAAAGCTAATTTTATTCCAGAACCTCTTTTGATAAAATTCTTACTCAAAATAAGGAAAAAGGGATATTGATTCTTTAGATTTGCTACTCTCGACTCTTGACTAAAAAATTCAAAAAACGTACAAGTGCCCACGCTTCAAACAGCTGAAATTTATTCATTTCTGCTTGTCATGTTGAGGGGCAAAGTCCACCGTGACAAACATCCTCTCGGGAGGGGGAAAAAATGATATTTTGAAGCCTCCTGTATTACTTTCGCACTCGTTACGAGTCGGCCAATGTCACGTTGGCAAGCGAAGCCCAAAAAAAATACATAATCCCAGGATCGGATTTCAATAGGTCATCAGATTTGCTCGGCAGGCACGTCTCCCATTACACTTTATGATTACCAACATGAGTGGAGATGTCACAAAGGGCTGAAATTGTAATTTCAAGTGCATTTCTCCCCCTTGAGAGAAGGACCCAAGACTACGAGAAGAAAAAACGAAGTACAAAACGAACCAAAGTCATCTTAACAACCAAGGGTGGTCTCTCTCAGATGCTTCCATGACCATACAGAATATGTCACCTTCCTTCACCACAACCCTTTGCCATGTGAATCAACCCCCCCCCTCCACATACACCAATGCATCATCGTCAGAATCTTATCAGGAGGTCATGCTCAATCGGTCCATGTTAAAAATTACTGACGATGGTTTCCCAACACTACAGGACAGGAAGACAGAGAAGAAAAAGACAGAGAAGGGGAAAAGAGAGAAAGCGAGAGCGGAAAAAAAGAAAAGAAAAAAGAAAAAGATGGGGGGAAAAATCTCAGAATATTCTCCCCGAGGGAATAGTTTGCATCTTGCGGGTCATTTGCTGCTCCATTAGCAGCGTGGGATTGAGCAATTCATCACGCGCTGCACAGCGCTGAGACAAAGCTGCAATTCTACGTGCATCCACGAGATGGATAACAAGTTGGACGAGGAAGACACAACCTGGAGTAGCAATGCGACGGTCACAAGGTCCAAGACTTTGTTCTTCCGTACTGGCTTAATCTTACTTTGTTTATCTCTCACTTGAATAGATCATTTTCAGAAGAACAATGTTGGGCAAGGGTTTGAGTTTTTTATAATTACTAAGACACTACAATCAAACAGCAAACCTGGACATTCTGCAAGCAGGTACTTTGCCAGCTCTATGGAAAAAGCAAGAACATTTCCTACGAATCTTCAACACACTTAGATTTTAACAAATCTTAAGCAGAAATGTCTTCCTAGAGCAGTTCTTTACATCCCCACTGAATCCTCTGTACAATATTTCCACTATAATACCAATACTGCATGGGAAACTATGAACAGGATGGCGGGAGCTTGGTCCTTTGTCCAGCTGAGAGAACAAGCCAGCCCTTAAGCATGAGTTAGCACTCTCGCGTTTGACTTCTTTTGACAAAACACAGGCAGTAACTTACCTGTGAGTTCTAGTTCATTTGTTGATGTACTGCCTTCCTTCCCTTCCTTCCAATATTCAATTTTGAAGACTGTCAACTCATGAGTCCTCACAATTATGAATAAGGCAGGGTGGGGCAACTCATTAAAGTCTGAATGCCCGAGATTGCTTTGACACTTCATCCCCTTTTGTCACCCCGGACCCAACTTCTTCCCATCTCTGCTTCAATAAGGGCGAGGCAGGGCAAGGCTGGACCCAGAGACCGGTACTACCTCATCCATCCACCTCTAGCCATGCCCATCTCTGCTTTAACCACTCGGTGCCGGGGTTCCCGGTACTGGGTACCTTGGGTTTGTACGCAGAGCCAGGTTGCCCGAAATCCAACAAAGGAGCTGGGCCTTGTAACAGGGCCTTGTACTCGGGAATTGAAAGTCACCTTGGAACTCGTCCTGCATATGCAAACTCCACCCGGCAGGTAGGGCTTAATAAGGGCAGGGCAGGGCAGAGAGAGGCCCCAGAGGCCAGTACTACCTCATCCATCCACCTCTTGCCGTGCCCATCTCTTTCCTGTAACCCGCTAACTTTAACACCTTCCCACAATGCTCCCACTAACCCCGACACCCCCACCCCACCCAGTTTTCAGACAGGGCAAGGCAGGATACGAGGACCAAGCCAGCATCTCATTCATCTTCCTCAACTCAAATCCAAGCGTCGTCTGTTACACTCCGGGCATCTGCCCCTCCTCCCAACCGTTCACACCATCCCATATTACACTCATTGATCACCAGGACCCCATCTCCATGGCATCCCAATCGCTTCTTCCCTCGATTGCTGTTTACTCGCCATCCCCTCTGTAATATGAAAACAAGCACATCAATATCCGAGCAGCTGACAAGACATACTAAGACCAGAGTGACGTTCAAACAAGGAAGGGAGGGAGGGAGGGGGGGGGAAATTTCATCAAGGAAATATCATACATCAATTTAAAAAGGTGAAAGGGGGAAACAGAGAGACCTCCAGCATGAAGCGGGCTTGATGGATCTCAGCTAGTCCAGGATCGACCGGCCAGTATTTGACTTCTTAAATTATTAATAAATCCAGGGACTTGGACAAACACAGCAAATCAGAACACGCTTCACTTCTGGCAACTGAGTGCATGGTTTCATTAATAAATACAACCTCATCCCCAATAAAGGAGGAAAAAACTGGTTGCCTAGATACTACCACCGTTCTACTCCCAATTCTCATGCCCCGATAATACCAGTAGTAACAGATCAATAACCCTGACGAGAAAGACGGAGCAAAAGAGAGAGACAGAGAGAGAGAGACCGCAACTGGGTCTGTTAAAAGTAATTTGCAGGCGGGAAGAAATTCCATCGACCTTTTTCCTCATTCCCCTATCCTATTTTCCATGTATGTGTGCGTTAAGACCCCGTATTTAACACGATCACCGGCTCGCTTAAAGTGGCCGACGCGGCCCTGGCTAACCCGCTGAATAATTCAATTTGGACCAATCAGAGACGCTATTTGAAAACGTTGTCTGCTGCCGTTGGGGTACGACCACAATTAGGCTGTAAGCATGCTAATTCCTTGCCTACATGGATGCACTTAAGAGGATAAATTCACCGCTCAGTTGCCGGGCCTGCATTTTATTACGGGTGCTGACGCTTTTGAAATCTGCCGTGCTGTATTCATGTATTTCTCCAACCTCCCCCCCTTGCCCCTTTTCCCTATTTTTTCCCCCCACTAATTCTTGAAAGCTCAAGAGAGTTTAGCTTCAGATTTCGAAATGGGGTTAGTGTGATTATTCCAAGCTTGGTGACAGTTATCATGGAATAGTTGACAAACCTCAGAGGGACTTACTAACACTTACTGGTAATTTATAAGCAGACAATTGAAACATTTTAACGCAGCAAAGTACCAGATGAATTTTGTACAAATGGTCTTCATTACATGAAAAAAGATACATGTATCTCTTTCTAGGTGGCTGGGAGTCCCCTTTGTGAATGAGCTAAATGGGGGAAATCAGAGATGCTACATGTATTCTTCTAATTAAAAAACTGTAACAGCGGCCACCTCCAATATTTTCAGCCCAGTACTGTCCAATCAGACAGGGAAAATGAGGAGCCGTCCCTGTCACTACAAAAAGGAAAAGAGAGTCACCTCCACTACAGAGACACCACAAAGCTTGTCCAATTAGGGGAGAAGCAGCTATGGAGCCATCTCTGTTATTTACTGGCCCAGCCTGCCACTTCATCACAGACAGACAATTAAGAGAGCTTGTCCTTAATTTAAGGACATGGCCTGTCACCCCATTCAACTGTCAAGCATTCTTGGCATTTTGGTCTCAAGACACAATGCTGTTTCCTTATTCATGTGCAGCCACTGTCCAATTTATTTTTAGTAGCTCTTGGTAAGCAGCAATCAATCACTTAAACTAGTGTGACTGTAGGTCTTAAAGGGGCATGTCACATACGGTAGCCAAAACACTGCACTAATAATCAGAGATCCCAAATAGAAAAAAGACTGCCCACAGTATTATCCCAAATGGTGCAGTTGTGAATAATACTACGTTCATCCGAACTTCTGAGGAATTTCAGCCAGAGAACTCTGTGAAAAAGAGAATTCAGTGAGGGAACTTCTTTGCAAAGCAACAACGCCCACTGAGGCCATAATTTTTCACTGGCTTGTGCCAATATGGCCCAGAGTACCATGGCCTCAATGTCCATGTTCAAACCAAGAGTGCCCTGGGGATTATAATGCTCAGTGGCAGTGACAAACCAATGACAGTCCTGTCTCCTCACTGGTGACCAGTGGTAAGAGAGCATGACCACGGCAAGGAATCCAATCTCCGATTATCTCGTATCCCCAAACTTTCAGTCTGGATTTGTGCAAAGCACTGGCAATGCACTGCCTTTGAGATAAAAACAAAAATCTCCAGAGCAAGTAGGATATTCTGGCTTAAGAGAGCAACTCCTTTAACATCTCTGCCTTACACAACCCTTAAAAACAGATAGTAATTACCAGCACACTTCCCCCAAGCTCTGAAGCATTAACACGCCCTCTGGGTAAATGTCAGGATGGAGNCAAATAATCCCGTAATCAATTAAACCCTTATTAAGCTA